TGCATGGTGTATTGATTGGTCGTGCACCCATTAGCAGGGGCAGCTAGACTGCCTCATCAATATTTTAAGGAATGACCTGGCCGTAGGATCCGGAACTGCGTGGTGCTGTGGGGCTGACGACTGACTGTTTTTTTTCTTTTCCAATTGTCAGAGCTATTTTTACCACCGGAAGGCCAGCCGCCCCCTCTCCCAGGCCTCTAACCTGGTGGGGATGGGGGAGGGTCTCCTGTCTGGGTTCCTGGCCCAGGATTAGGAAAGGCCTTAGCTTGGAAAGGCGACAGGCAGGGAGGGACTGGATTAGGCTTCCCCTGCCTCCCCCTTCCTGAAGCCCATCCCATCCTATTGCTGTTCTGGCAAGATGGGAACAAAAAACATTTTTCCAGGAGAAGAAGCCAGACAGCCCAGCTGAGTCTCAAAAAACCCCTAGGTGATGATTGAGGGAGGGTGATTCTTCCACCCATGGCCCCTGGGGAGCCAGCACCTGCTCCCCAGACCTGGTGGGCTCCCATTGTCTCCAGGCCCAATCCTCAGGAAGCCTATAAAAGTGAGAAGTGGCCCCCTGCCTGCTCCTGCTCCCAGTAGAAAGACAGGGGGTCCCAGTCTTCAGTGTCCAAGGCCATCACAGTCAGGGACCCCTAGAGATCACTGTTCCAGCACCCCATTTTACTGATGGGACACCAGGGCCTGGGAAGACCCAAGGCCTGGCCCGAGACAGAGCCCAGATCTCCCCACGTCCTATCCCACACTGACCCACCCTTACTCACAGGTCTCTTCTGGTTTCCTGGGGCCATAGGAAACTCAGGTTCCACAGGGACCATGGAAACTCAGAGAGGAAGGGCCTGTGAGGTAGGAAGCCTTCCTGGAGAAAAAGAGTCTTTTACAGTCTTAAAGGCCAAGTAGAATTTGAATAGTCGGCCGAGTAAGGAAAGCAGTGTCTGTAGGAGAGTGACACAGGCAAACACAGGTGGGAATTCCAAGGAGCCACTGAAGGAGGGACAGCCCAGGCAGGCTGGATTCAATACATAAACCTGCCAGGTCACCCCCAACAGTGGGGGGCCAGGTGAGTTTGTCTACTCAGCTTCTGGTACCTCTGGGTTCCCCTCCCCATGAGGCCCTGCTTTTCCCACATCTGGGTCTGGTCACCTGCAGAATGGCAGAGGGCTTTGTCTGATTGATGGGTTGTCACACCGGCTGGTCCGTAGAGAGGGCTGGAAATGCCTTCTGGCTGCACCCAGAGGTTAGGGGAGTCCCAGACTGCCCATGGTTGCACATGGATTATAGCATTGCAGAGACTGCCTCTTCCTTCTGGAGGATGGAGAAGGAACTTGTCCCAATTTTTAAAGCAAGGAAACTGAGGCTCAGAGATGAGAGTTATGGTCAACATCACTCACCAAGAGAGCGGTGGGGTCAGACCTTGAGCCCGGATCAGCCAAAGTCCCTACACTTGGTCTCATCCTCAGTTCTAGCCTACAGTACATCCTTGCCCTGGCTGGGGCCAAGCCCTCTTCCATGTGACCTGCAGCCTCACCTTTGCAGAGAGCCATGTCTGGGCCTCAGTCTCCCCATCTGTAATTAAGTATGGGGCTCCTTGTTGACCCTGTTGCTTGTGACTTTGACCTCTGGCTACTCATCCCCCTCCACTTCTGTGTAGCCCCAGCTGGACCCAGGGGACACTGAAGGCTGCTGTGCTGGGCATCAGGCCCTTAGGCTCCTGGTCAGCCAGCAAAAATGGTAGGGGAGGTCAAGGCAGGATCAACCTCCCAGTGCCTCCCAGTCTAGTCCCTGTCTAGCACATGGCCACAGCCACCAGACCCTTGGCAGATTCCTCTCTGAGTGCCTCCCCTACCTCCATTGAGAGCAAGCTGGGGCCCACATGTGAGAGCCTCTCCCCAGGGCCCTGTCCACTCCACCCCTTCTCTGTGCCAGGAATATTGTTAGCTAGCAGGATGAGCGGGGAAGGACAGGGAATGCCTGAGGATGGGGTACTGGGACTGACTTTCCGTCCCCACGTGCCCCATGTGGGAACAAAATTGTGTCAAATAGGTGTTCGCACTTGGTACTGGCTCTAGTGCTAGCCCTTCCTAAACTGCCATGTCACTCAGTCTGACCCTCCTGGTGGTCTCAGTGGTACAAGGGGGAAAGTGGCCACTGTGGGGAGCACTACCCTGCTGGGTAAATGAATAGGCTTGGAGCACGGGGACAGGCCCTCAGGGGCTTAGCTGTAGGGCTTTTTCCCCATTCCCACCCAAAAAAATGTTCCCCTCCACAAGGCCTCCACTCTCTACCTTCCCTGGAGGCCTTGGCGGTGGTGACAGGTGCATTTCTGCCTCCACTTCCATTCCCGACAAATGACTCAGGCCTTCCTTTCCCCCTCGAGGAGTACGTATGCCAAATTGGCGAGACACATGGAAACAGATACCTGAAGTGCCCTGCAATTGCACCTTGCTAGTGGGATGTATAGGAAGGGACTGTGGGAGGTCAGAGGAGACAGTCATGCCACCTGACAGTGGAAGCGGGGGGAGGTTAGGGAAGGCTTTCTGGAGGAAGTGGCCACTGAATTAATTATTGAAGAATTAGGAGTTAGGCAGATGATGAAAGAAGAAGGAGTAGAGCAAGGAAAAGGCCGACCATGAGCCAAGCTTGTAAGTACCTCAGCAACTATTCTCCCCAACCCGTCTCCCATGTCCTGATAAGTCTGCCTCCAAGGTTTTGCTCAGACATGCAGGAAAGGCACTCTTTACCCACTTCATGTCAGGAAGCCCACTGCAGGCCCCTCCTTCTCCAGGAACCCCCACCCATCCCGCCCCAGCTCCCTGCTGCTCTCTCTCCCAATACCAGCAGAGTCTAAGGAGACCTGCTGGTTTAGAAAACTGTCCTCTGTGCTAAGTGCTCTCATCAAGTGGTTCATTTTCTCCCTGAGGTTGTCCTGTGGTTATTGACTGCAGATCGATGGCTGAGGTTGCCCCAAGGTGAGAGGGAATTCCCACGGTGCCCTATGGCCCAGAGCCCCACAGATGATCTCACAGAAGTGGAACAGCTATTTTTGCCTAATGTTTAATTACAGAGTTTGGATCCCAGAGGAGGGAGGAGATGGTGCTCCTAGGGGTTGCAAGGCCTAAGCCAGGAAATGTGGAATTCTGGGAGAGCAGCTGAGGGCATGACCCTCCACCTCTGTTCCCCTAACATTGGGCTGGCCCCCTCACACAGGCTCCCCAAGGCAGGGCAGAATCACATCACCGCTTTATTCTCCGTTGGTAATTTCACCCTAGCCTTGGAATGTGCATAAGCACAGTGCGCTTGGCCTGTACCGCAGGGATGATGGCCACATTGGGGGACAAGGGGGCAAGGCTCCCAAATAACCGGACATACACCAGGTAGTTTGGCAGTCCAGAGTGATGGGGGGCTGGGAATAAGGAGGAGGAAGCTGGGGTGAGGAGACAGCTGGCA